ATGAGTTGTATGTGCCCCTAATAAAATGATTTTTTTAAAAAAACAACATTAGCTTAGTCTGATTCCCCTTTGTAGGTAACTTTGGTTTTTCCCAAGTTGCTGTCCTAATTATTTCCTTATCTTTGATTTTTGAAAGTTTGATTATGATAGGCTTGGTGGTTTAGGGAACACTCTACGCTGTTTGGTGTTCTTTCAGCTTGGGTGGTTATTTTCTCTTTTTTCATCATACTGGAGAAATTCTATTTCTGCAGTTGTTAGAATTTGTCTATTTTTGTTTTGTACTGTTCTGGAATTCCTACCATAGATTTATTATTCCTCTTGATATTTTCCCACATAGTATGCTCTCCAGACTTCTTAAAAGTCTTTATGTATCATTCTTCTCATAGTTTGATATTGAGAGAATTGTCATCATTCTCACTAATTCTGTGTTCCATTTCTTCTAATCCTTTGCTTTTTCAATATATTATCTATTTCTTATATCTTAGTAGTATGTTTTGGTATTACTTTTGTTATTTTATTTATTTTGTCAGATTACTCTTATACTGTTTTCTTGAAGTCTTCTATAGTTTTTTCTCTTTCCATAGCTATCTCAACCTTTTTTCCTTATTATTATTTGTGTGTGTGTGTGTGTGTGTGTGTATCCAAAAGGGTTTGTTTGTCAGGGTCGTGATTTCATGGGCAAGCGGGATACTCATTGTGTTAGACGGGAAACAAATTCATTGACACTCATGTATGTGTAAGAGAGAACTTTATATCAAGAAATAATTATGCATAAATAAAACATCCCAGCCTCATCTAGATTGAGCCCTTAAGTTCAATATTAGCCCATAAGTCTAATATTAGCCCATGAATTCCTCTTCAGATTCACGCAACACATGCAATGATGCCAAATACAGGAAGATCACAGGTCACTGGGTGGAAAGTTCTGTGGATCCAATGGCAGTGGACATATCCCCAGGGTTCTGTGTGCCATCAGCTTGGCTCCATGTGGCTTGTCAATAGGAAGATGAAGCAGAGAGAGAGAGATTGTGTCCCACCTCCAGAGAGGAAGAGAGGCTGTGACCTGATTGACAGGCTAGACTCCACCCCTTCATTCTTTTATCAAGTTGACATGAAATTGTGTAACTACCACAGTCATGTAAACCGAATTATATTCATATAAGCCTGGATTGAGATTTACAAGAAAATGAAATGCTTTACTATTTTGCATGTTATTCTTGCACAGGGCCATACGAATTGTCTCTGCAGCATTCCAGTTTTAGTATATGTGCCGCCACAATGAGCCCTTGTTTCCCATCAGCTGAATGCCCTTAAGAACCATTCCCCTTTTCTTCCCTCTTCTGACTCTCCAAACAAGACTTTGACTCTACAGAGATGTCTCCAAACTCTCCCAGCCAAATTAGCAAGGAAGACCCTGAATTATTACCTGCAACTGTGATGTTCCCCTAACCCTGTTACTGTCAACCTGATAAGAATGTGACTGCTAGCCGGAGATCCAGAGCAGGTCAGAGACCCATGAGCAGGCTGCAGATCTGGAGCAGACTGGGGTTCCACGAGTAGGCTGGGGTCCATGAGCAGGCTGGAAATCCATGAGCAGGCCAAATACCTGGAGCAAGCCAGAGATCCATGAGTAGGCCACAGATCTGGAGCAGCCTGGAGATCCAGGGCAGCCCTGAGTTCTGGAGCAGGCTAGAGATCAGAGCTTTTGTCTTCCCTTGACCATGGATCCGGAACTAAGTCAGTTTCCAAGGTATCCTCAGCTGACGGCAGCAAAGTGGTCAGACTGCCCTCCTTCCTATTCCCTTCTAACTCCAAACATCAGAAATATAGCCAGTGTGACCCCAAATAACAACAAAAAATATGTACAAATTGTTTATAATTTCTTTGTATTCTTCCTCAAAACAACCAATAAGGTACAAGTTACCAATAATATATATATAAGATTAAAAACAAAAACCATTCTTCTGAATTATTTTTTGGTAGCGCCAATGTCTACTGTTCCTCAGGTCTTTCGGCTCTGTACAATCACTGTTTTGTGCACTTGTGACCTACGTCTTTGTCTGAACTGCTGTCCCTGAGATACTTTGATGTTTTCAAGTGCTCAGGTGGCACTTGACTTGGTTGTGGCCCATGCTCCGTAGGTGCAGCCCTGGTAGCCCCAGAGGACTGCCAACTTCCAAAGGCTGAGTGGGGCTCTGCAGCAGCCCCTACAGCCCCAGAGCGCATGCATGCACGGGTCCACCCATCTAGTGGTGCACTGCCGTTCTTATTGAAAAACAAACACACACAGCCCTGTGCCTCCAACTCTGCTTCTTTGGTTTTTAAAAATCTGCACTTGCCTCTGATAGATAGCCTCTGCCATGGAGAGCAGCAGAGATGCTTGCCCACCCCTTTAGCTAAACAACAAAAGCCTAGTCTGGCAGCCCCAGGCTACAGTGATGGCCACACACAGATTGGGAAGATGTATGTCCCTCTCCTCATTCCGGTTCCACCGGTTTAGTAGGAGAGGAATAAAAAGAAGCTCCACACCCACTCTGGCAGCTCAAATCCAAATCTGTTGGGGAATGAATGGGCCTGTGATTCCTCCCTGCACTGTGGAGCCCTGAGGAACCAGAGACGGCCCACTCTCCACCAGCTAACTGCCTCGTAGCAAGATGTGGTGCAGTGTGGCAGACCCTCCCAATTCATCCCTCCCTCCATCTGCACTCAGGGTCCCAGGGATTTGTCAGTTGCTCATTAGTTGCTTGTTCTCTGTGAGTCCAAGTTCAGCTCACTCTGCTTTCCTCTCCCTTCGTAGATATTCAGGACTCCAGCTTTCCACTCTATTGGCTTCTCCCATTTGTATTGTAGAGGGATTCCATAGTGTCTCTCTCTAGGACACCATCTTCTCCCAGAAGACCAATGCATTTACTTTTATAGTGCATGTGATAGGTAAGTTTATTGTGCCAACATGGCCAATGAACACGTGTGTGATTAATTGAAGGGCAGAGAGATAAATTGCTTGGCAAGCTTCGCCTTTCTTGTCTCTTGCTCTTTAATGATCAAAGCAGTGTGCAGCTGCCTTACCTTGTTCTGTGCCTCCGTTTGCAAACTACAATACCTGTGGGACACCTATACCGTGGACTGTGTCGCTGTAGTTTGAGGGTCTACAAGACCTGCTCTGCCATGTTATTGGAGTATACATCTCTTGAGCTGGGGACTGTCGGACCTTGTCATCTGGCTGACTGTTGGTGACCTGCTTGCTGTTTGCTGCCTGGGGCCGGATAGCCTGAATTGCTCCACGGAGGACTACCCTGCAGCCCTCAAGGCTTGAAGGACTGCCAGTGTGCTAGCTGTCTCACGGAAGTGAGTTGCACTGAACTATTTGTACTGCTTTATAGATTAGTTAACTGTTTATTTCTTGTGTTATCTATATAAATATCGATAAAATCATTAGTGTCCTGGTTTTGTTTCTCTAGAGAACCCTGTCTGACATAGTGGGGTTCTTCAAGCCCAGGTCATTCTCTTGTTAGCCACCATCAAGGCAATTCTGACACAGGGTTTCCACATACGTGCAGGCTAGAAATGCGCCAAAGGGTTTGCAGTACTGGCCTTTCTGAAGCAAATCACCAGAACTATTTCTCTTAAGGAGGCAGTGGGCACCACTGGTTTAAACTACCAAACTTTTGGCTAGTAGACTAGTGCTTAATAATTTACTCCTTCACCATAACATTTAGATTAGTATCCTTTTTAATTTTCCATTGAGTTGATTCTGAATCATGGTTGATTCCAACACATATATGCATATATGTGCAGAACGGCTCTGTAGGGTTGCTAAGGTTGTGACTATTCAGAAACAGATCACAGTCCTGGCTTCCAAGGCACCTCTGGGTTCATAGTGGCTTCAAATCACTAACCTTTCAGCTAATTAGTAGTTGAGCATTTAACCATTTGCACCATTTTCTCAGGAATATTGGAGCTCTGTAGATGATTCTAGGACCCCTGGTGGTGCTGCTAACTGCAAGGTCTGCAATTCCAATCCACCAGCCACTCCTTGAGAGAAAGGAGATGTGTTCTAGTCCTGTGAACGACTACAGTCTCAGAAACCTATGTCACTGTGAGCACGAATGTATTTGATGGCAGAGAGTTTGGATTTTTGGTTATTGGTTTTAAAGGAGCTTCCACTTGAAAATGTTTGATTATTCCATTCAGATTATTTCTGTCCAGCCTTACGCAAGCATACATGCAAGAGCCTATTACAAAAGCAGTGTTCCCTTATAACTTCTTATATTCCTTTTAAATATTTTCCTCCCATAGGATGTCTCTTGTTGTCAAGTAAGGTGTTAGTATCTGTTATACTTCAAATAAAGATCAATGTCAATATGCCAATAGTTTATCTTCCCCTCAAATTGATCCCAGTTGTAATAAAATTAAACTGCCTAGTTCTTAAATAAGACATTTCTGTAAATTGTCATTTTTATAGTTAAAAACATTGATAGTATTGAATTTTTAAAGCTTGATTCCCACCCACCCCCACCCCCCGTGTTTGTTATTTCCTTTTTTTTAATTTAAACTTGTGATTTGGGGGAAGGTTTACAGAGCAAATTGTTATTCTATGCAATAATTTATACATTTTGTTTCGTGACATTCAGTGGAATATCCATAATGTAACAGTATTGCTTCCCACTTCCGGTGTTATCATTGCTCTTTGTCCCTCTGTCCTATCCCTTCTGAGCTTTATACCTGGGAAAGTGCTGCCCTTCCGTTCTCCGATGGTTGATTGTTCTAAGGAGTACATACCTCCCTGGTGCTCACCATGTAGGTTCACCTTGTAGACCTGTCTATTGCTTGGCTGAAGTTGAGCCACAGGGGTGAATCCAGTTCCAGATTTATGGGATGACAGAGGGCTACAGTGTCAGAGTTTCTTTTGGTCTCTCAGACCAGTGAGCCTGGACTTTTTCATGATTTTGCGTTTCGGTCTGCATTTTTCTCCCACTCTAAACAGGGCCCTATATGTGACCCCTTGTAAATCAGTCAAAGACACCATCTAGTTCTTTACCTGGGGGCTACAGAAGCTGAGGTTCAGGTGCTCCATCAGGCTTTTGGACTGATTGTTTCAAGCATCTTTGCTTTTCTTCACTCTTCTGTGTTCTGGACAGGGAGAGGCCAATATTTCATTTAGATAGCTACTCATGTTTAAGTCTCCAGTCACTAACCAAGTTAAGATGTAGAATCATATCTTTGTGGACTGTGTTGTACCAATTGATCTTGATTTCCCTGTAGCTGTGCTTGGAGCCCCCAAGCTTAGAGCCTCATTCCCTTGCTGTGCTGCATTCATGGATATATTTACAGTACCTACAGATATGTATGTAGAAGTATCATCTGTCAAACCTGTATATGGTGGTGCATATGGTCTATTTTGACCACCCATGAATGATTGCTTATGTGTTCCCTTGTTAAAAGTAATAAGGCAGGGTGATGTATGTAACCATATATGCCCTTGTTGTCTGTAACTCTTACGCTTCTCTACATATATTTCTTTTCCTTAGCAGCAATATGGCGATTACCCCTTATTGAATACTGCTTTTCATGACACATAAATTAATGTCTACTTTTAAAAAGTAAAACAACAATGTGGAAACATAGGTATAACCATGGCAGAAATTGAACTGGTAAAGAGCCCGACACATTTGAGATTTTGTGTTTCAAAGAGTAAAAGAAAGTATTACTTTGATTCATTGTTTGCTGGAGACTCTATGCCTCTGATGCTTATCCAGTGCCCCAGTTTGGGTGGAGTCTTCTGTTCTACCTCTGGAGAAGTATTCAATTCAGTGGGTGGATTAAAGTTCAATCATGGTCCTTCTTCTTTGCAAAGAACATGTGAAGTCCTTCTGTGCCACCGAGAATAACTTCTACCGTCTCTGCCTAGAATTTATTACAAATCATTCGTTGTAATGTGAACTTGTCTGTTGTACAAGTTATACCAGCAACATTCTTATACATGGATGATTTAATTATTTTGCTTCCATTTAGTTGTTTGGTTTCTGTGGGTTTGTTTGTTTTAATTGGACAATGTTGAGAACTATCAAAAACTAAAAGGAAGAATGAGACAAATAACCCTGTTGTGACCCTTGATTGTCTCTGTCTAAGAATCTGTAAACGCCCTCTTGACCAGCCCCTCCGGCATTGTGTTCATGAGGACGCGGGTAAACTTTTGTGCTCATGAATGGCTACAGCTCTACTACTGTATGCTTTCCCAAAGCTTGGAAAGAAATAAGTGTTCGAGCCTAACCTGGTTACTGTGTCA